TGTCAGTATCTTATACGGAGGAGTACATAACTGGCCGAAGTACTCCAAATGCTTCCTTTTCCATTTCTCTTAAGACAATTGAGCTACTAGGGGGGAAAACATGACATTCCAGGTAGTATACCTGATAAGAAGCAAAAGGAAGTCCAACAGTAAACTTTCCACAGAAAAACAAAAAATTCAAGATGACACAGAAACTAGATCCTAAATCACTGTACCCTCAGTATTCTATGAGGGAAAAAAAAACCCAAAACTCTAGAGGTCCATCTAGTCTGTATTCTGCCAGAAACAACAGTTCGTTCTATAAATTTCCGAGGAATGGTGTAGGACACCAATAAACAGATAATTTTTTTAGTTAGTTGTCCCAAGCAGAAGGCTTTTTGCTGAGTTTCAGTAGCTGCCGATTTATGCCTTGCAGATGAGGGGCATTTTACCAGTTACAAGCTCTCTCAAAATTGCTAGAGAAATCCACATTATTAATATCTAATACTTTTTCAAACTTCATAAAATCGGTTGATCTTCAAGGATAAGTAGTATAATATTGTATCAGATACCTCCTTGTACCTTCAAAGTTTTAGTTTTCAGTCTTTCTAAAAGGAACAGAGAAGCATGAGTTTCACTTGAACTGAATCAAGAGCACTTAGTTAAAACAAATAGGTAAAAATTCATGTAAATTCAAATTTGTTTTGAATGATTAATAACTAATTCATATCTTAAAAATAACTGAATTAACAAAAAATAAAACCCAAGAAAACATTAGTTCACCTTGTTCTAAAATTACACAGCTTAGTTATGAAAACAAATGCAATTGATTTGCAATTCTAAACTGTTAATCTAGAAGTAATATAAAATTAATCTTTTATCAGAAAGGTAATAACGTGTTAAAAGCATAAGTAGCTTGTTTTATTGTTTTTAGTTGAAAATTCCTTACGAATACCTGCATGAGCTGTCGACTACATTGTAAAATCTTTGTCACGGCAAGTTATAAAATTAATATATTCGATCTGTCAGGTAAAACAAGCCTTGCAATTTTCCTACTTAAGCGATCATTAAATTGTTCAAATAGGTATAGTTTGATCCTTCATGCATTCCAGAATAATCTCAAGTAGCTGAATATAAGTTGGCTAGGGCATCCATGATAGTTTATGTTTCCCCATGAAGTGGCTTCTAATAACACTACTGTTAGTTGGCAATTCATATTCTAAATAAATTTTACCATCTCTGAAATATTGTTAGTGTGTTATTTCTTAACAATTTTAATATATTGAAAAAAATCTGAATTTCTTCTATATTTGGAATGTAAATATGTAAAAAATCTGGTTTCTGCTTAAGAACTAGAATATTATTCTTTAAACTAAAACAAAAGCCATTGAAAACTAATTGGCAAATAGAAAACAAAACAATTTAAGGTATGTAAGCTTTCATTGGTAATATAAACTATTTTGTGAAGACACAGAAAATTCATTGAAATATTATGATATTCATATTTTGTAATACTCAGTATCACAAAACATGGCCTGGTGTGTAAGTAACCAAAACTGCGTTTAAAAACCAGGTTGTTTTAAAATAAAACTTGTCATCTCCAATACTGTATCATGCTGTTTCTATAAAACATTTAATGAATATATCAATATGAAACATTATCACCAGTACAAAATGCACTGCCTTCCCTTTTTCTATCTACTTGGCACCTACCGGCTATCTCTGTCCCACAGGAGTATTCGTATGTGGTTGATTATTGATGGCTGGCCTAGTTTAATTTCAATTCCAGAACGGCAGTCGTCATCAATCGGGTGTCGAGAGAAGCCATGATCTAAATCATAGTTCTGAGTATCCCCATCTAACAAAGCAGACTTCAGCTCCCCTTTTACAACTTGTGCTCCATATTTCATTGTTGCAATATTCTCCCCTGGTACTAAGAAGAAAAGGAAATAATTGCTTAATTTTTACACTCCTCGACTGCAGATTACACATACTGAACATCAACCGTATCAGGTCAGAATACAGAATTATTGACAGTATCCTTTCTTGGCCACAAACATATGCTCGAAGGGAAAAAAAAAATAAAAAATAATATATTTATATATATGTACAATAAGAGAGGTATTTTAGAACTTGTCCTTCTTCCATTTCATTTGGTAATGATGGTCTTTTATGGTAATAACAAGTAGTGATAATTTACAAGTATGTATTACCTATGTTCTCAGTCTTCCTCATGATTTTACAGAATTCTATTGCACCTTCCTCATTCATCACTTTCCTCCTGGTTTTAAAGTTTTGGTCTACTTAGTCTCTCTTTGTGATGAACCTCTCACCATACTTCTAATAAGTTTTTGCCCTTTCAGGTTGGTTTTTTTTCTAACTTCAATTTAATTTTGATCTTTTTAAGTTGAAGGAAAGTAAAAACCCTATAAAATGCTCAAGATGCAGATGCATTATGAATTTGCAGAGTGGTATAGCTATACAAGCTATTTTAATAGCTACACAGGCTTCCAGTATTCTGCAAAGCTACATGAACCTGTGCAAAATAGGAAACTTTGGACTACTTGGGCTTTGAACCAAGATGCTCAAGCAAGTTTTTTATGCCACCATTTCATGGTAATAAACATGTTACATCCCAGGAACAGATCTTCCATCAAGATACCTGGGGATAATGATCCCTAACTCCAACTACAAAACCATACATTGATGAACCACCCTGTTAAAAATATATTTTTAACAGTCTCGTTTGAGAAGAGACCCTAGAAAACATGATCTGAAAGCTGAATGATGAAAAGCTGCCCATGAACTCTTCAAGCATGTTGGCAACTGGAGTATGAATTTTAACAGGATATTAAACTTAATACCTGAAGAACAGAATTTGAAGTGGCACAATTTTAACTGTACTACAGTACTACTTCATAAAAACATCAAATGCATGACTACGAAATTCAAGTGGTCATCAGCGTCTCCAAAAACAGAAAAAGTTGCAAGAGTCTGAACTAGTACTAAAACCAACAGTTAAATTATCTAAAAATCTCAGATTTGGAGAAAGCAAGAAATTTTGAGACTACAAGCATATTATTATTGAGACATAAATATGCAAAAAATGAATTCAGAAAACACCATTTAACTTTGTGAATTATTTCTACTGCACTGCCAACAGAATGTCTTGCATGACCAGGCTTTTTCAGTATCTTAATATTAAACTCATGTTTAAATATTAATCTGTAACTTCTAAGACAGAACAAATGGGAGATGTGGTTCTGAGAAAACAGTTATTTCCAGGGCTCATCATGCATGACTGAAGCTACACTGCAGACTCTCAAAGAACATTTAACTTTATTCTTTGCCGTGGGGCAAACACTCCATAAATCACACAACAGACAATAGACAGCAAACTAACAGTATCTTTCTAAAGCTCATTGTTAGATATTGTTGTTGAATGAACAGAGGGCACAGACAAAAGGCTGCTCACACTTTTTAGGCTTCCATTAGTACAGTTTGGGAAGACTTCTTTATGCTGTTTGGGCAAATATGAAGAAGAATCATATGTTGACTGATACTGAGGAATAGAAATGGCAGGAATGGTACGTAACAAGGTATTTTATTATGTAAGCCTTTTAAAACACGTAATAATAGACAAAACTTCAAAGCACAAATTAACCATATCCTCCAGAGAACTATAGTCACTAAATGAGAAAAAAAAAACAACCAAACACACAAAAAACCTGACACTCACTTAACATGCCCCTGTAGTTGAGGTCCATGTCCCGACTCTCCGAACGAATCTTAATGGCATCTAGGATGGCATCAGGTGACAACAACCCAGAAGGTCTTACAACATTTAGTAGTTCTGTTAGGCTCATTAGTGGTAAACGTACTGCTTGCATGATTTCAGCATGGTTTTCTTTGGGGTTATGTTTACACCAATTCATCAAAGCTTGGAAAATGTCCTTCTCAGGAGCTGCAAATGAGTCCCTCAGTACAATACTTAAAAGAGCAGCCTAGAAAACAAAAACAAAACAAAACAAAAATCCCAAACAGAAATCAAATTTATTTTTAAAAAGGAAATTAAGATAGGAAAAAATAAATGGGTATTTTAACTTGTAGTTATTAAAAATAAACTCCAATGGACTGAGTACCTGAAACTGTAGTTTTAGTTACTTACGCAAGAATAACTGGATGAGTCACGTAAATAATAGGTAATATTACAAAACCACAAGGAGAATTAAGTCAGAATTGAAACATGGAAAACTATTGCTATTACAAATTTATTTTGGAATATAAGAAGTGATTTAGAGATTCGATAGTATAGTTCAAGGCCTTCCTTTAAAATTACAGTGTTATGACAACACTGATGGGAAAAATGAACTGTGGCTTGGAATCACCTTTTTAAACCATTTCTAACTACTTGGGATTCCCACACACACCTTCCTCTCTCTCTTTTAGTACCAACTGAGAATCAGCACGTGAAAACGTCAGTCATTCACTCAGAAAACCCACTGACTGCAAAATGGGAACAAAAAGAATTGAACAGCTTCTTGATTTTCACTTAGCTAGCAGAATAATTAGGAGTTTGCCTAAGAAAAGGACAAATCTCATATATACCAAGACTGGCTATATCAAAGATGTCAAAGTATGTGCTTCCTGATGACTAATGTTTGCTAATTTCTTTATTGCTAGTATGCTCTCAGAACTCAGATTTAACAAACTGCGTGTGACAAGATTAGATTGCCTGCTCCCATCTTGGTAGAATACTCCATCAGATTTACAATATTTAGCTATAGTGATTGGTCAAAATTAAATACCTAAAAATTTCAGAGTGGATCACCAGGATTTTAAGTTCAGCTTGGCTTGAACATTTCCAGCTGTCACAGTTTCACTAGATCAAAATAAGACCTGTTAACTAACATAAGCTTGTACTTGGTGCCCCCATTAGTATTTTGTCATGAAGTGGTATACAGATCAAAGTTAACATTCCTGGGGAAAAAAGTGCAAACAGAAAGATGTACCTTAGAAAGTGACAAGAAGCCTTCGCTGGAGAGCACCTCTTGGGCATTTCTATCCATGAACATGCAGCACATACAAGTTAATTTGGGCAGGGAATAAAGACTGGCAACATCAAACGTCATACAGACATTCTGAATATTAAGTATTGTGCAAAGATACTCAGATGTTGAATCCTCCAGTTCTGGGAACCCATATTTATGTGCTAGGCTTAGGAAGTCGAGGAGAACCTCCTCTTTCTCATCTCGTAGCGTAGCACGACCAGTGTAAATATATTTCAACAGCATGGTAAATGCTTCTGCAGTGGTGTCCTGAAGAGGAATTTCTGCTTCAGGCTGAGACTCTCTCATTCCACCATACAATAATGCTCTATAAGGAAGATAAAATTTGAGAAATTTATATCCTGATATAAACCAGGCAAAAAGTAGAAAAAGAAAGGAAGGAACAAATTACTATTTACAGCGAGGGCAATACAAAGAGGATACAGTTTAAGAACTTATAAAATCAAACCCCTTATATTTGGCATTTGAAGTACAGCTCTGCTCTGAAAGCAGCTGCAGAATAATATTCCAATGCATAATGCTTTCATCCTACACAACAACTGCTCCATCTCCACTTTGAACAATAGCCTATGAAACAGAAATTGTGATTCTCATGCCATTGTTTTTTTTAAAAAAATATGGTGCTATCTGTGAGAAAGAAAAATAAAAAATGAATTTTTTTCAGAAAGCAAGTGAAACAAATAGTTGGCCACTAAAACAGCAGTGCAGATCTGGAAATCTTGGCATTCTTGATCCTCTGTTCTTTAACTCTAAATCCAGCACACAGCAACTCCAATGAAATCTGGATCTTGAGAAAAATCAAAGTACTCACTATTATTTTTTAAAATATGATGGACAGCTTGAACACAATTTGCATTCACAATTTAATTATTAGTTTATCGCTCTGACAAAAATAACTGGAAGAATATTATCACAAAGTTCTATTAATTAAATTTAGAATGGAAAATGCCCAGCTGTTAAGAAGGTGGATTAGTATTATTCCTAGTTTTAAAATATATATTCTAACATGTATTGGCCAGACATCTTTAAATATTTAATTCCAACACATCAAAATTAAACTTTCTAATTGAGCATATTCCACAGAAGCACACTATCCACACTCTGAAAAAAATCAAAATAATTCTACAGCAGAACTTTTCTGTTCTGAAGTTCTTTTTCTTTTGAATCTGTGAAAATACCTTCAAAATCCAATTTAATGAAGGTCAAAAGAATAACATTGTGACATGGTATTTATCTTTTTATATTTGGACACAATGATTTGATGTGCTGGGAAACATTAACACAGAAAAGGTCACACTCAATGGACAGATGATTACACTCTGAAAAGTTCATAGAGAAACAATGTTTATCTTATCTGCATGAAAATTTCCTGTGAGCCTGACACAATGCTATACTTCACCTGAAATAATGGCACCTAGCAGCCAGGATCACTCTGTGTGCCGGAAAACGTTTCTTTTCTACAATAAAGGTAACGTCACTGTATTCTTCCCCGTTCATTAGAGCACCAATATGCTCTGACAGAATGTGAACGTGGTCAATCTCACCCACAGCTGTGTAAGGACGAAGCGGATGGCTGTTACTCATCTTGGAGGGATGGTGATATTGGTAGCCTAAAAGGAAAAAGAAAACAACCAGTATTAGAAAGGGCACAAATATAAAAAAATTGCTAAGATCAAGCTGCGATTACGAAAAAAGCGACTGTGCAAGTCACCATATATAACAAGAAAAATGAATCCAAAGGGCTTTCTATGAAGGTTCACTTACAAAAGGACTCAATGCTGCTTGCATCAACAATTCTACCCAGCAGACAAAAAAATCTGATAATTCTATCACCTTGTTGTTCTGTAAATTCATTTAAGTTAAAATCTTCCAACAAAAGGAATTAAAAATTAAAACAACTGAAGTTACCATTAGAAAGCAATTTTAGCTGAATTAAAATGCACATAAATTATAAAGAAATAAATAATTTGACCAATTAAGTATAGTCTTAACTCCCAAGTCTCTACTAAAATCAGCAATGAGTAAAAACATCAGTGTTTTTGCAGAATTCCAACCAGTTTTCCAGAACTGGGAGAAAATAATCAGAATAACTTTCAACAAATAAGTAAGTCCGTGAAAGAGCAAAGCTTTGAAATACACAATTCAGTTTTCTTATCCTTTCCACTCAGTTTCCTTGATGCCTTCTTGTTCCCTAATACCTTCTCAGTCATAAAAGTAGGAGTCTGCACATTAATGTACAATATAGATGCATATGTTAGTCATACCTTCTATGGAATTGCTTTGTTATTTCTTAATTCACAAGAGGTTTTAGTTTTGTCGGGTTTGGCTTATTTCTGCAACAAAGGCTTTCTGCAGCCACAGTGGCAAGAGCATCCATAAGAGAATTTCAGCTTCTATTGTTACATTTTGGTTTGTTTTTAAATAAAACGAGGTTGTTTCAGGTCATGACCATCCATATTTTCAGAGACACCTTCTGTGCTCGAATGACTAGCCACTTTCTGAAATGGGCACATACTCAGTGCTAAAGAGTGATAGTGTACCACAAGAAGGAGGAAAATGAGGAGGCCATACCCTGGCATGTGGTTAATACATTAGTATTTCAAGTGATGATCTTTCATGGCATGAATGCATTTTTAAGCTACACTTCAAAAGTATTACAAGAAAACATGCATCTGCAGTCACTTCTACCCCAACAAATTAAAGAAAATGCCCATGGAGTGAAAGTATTATTTGCACTTGTGTAGGACCTGGAAACAACCCAAAATCAGGATATTGTAGAAACACAGTGCCAAAGAACTTTCAACTGAACTAGGAAAAGTGATAGAAATAGAACATAAGATTTGAGAAAAAATACAGCTTACTAAATTGACAATACAGATCACAGCACAATTGGGAACAAAAACGCAGCTTTCCTCAGGCTCTCTCCGATACTTGAATTAGAAGGTGTGTGCCCACGTAGCCATTACAGCATGAAACCAGCAATACTGGCCAAGATACTAGAGGCAGCCTAACCATGGGAACACAGAAGACTGTAAAGGCATTCTTCTATCCTGACACATGTGCTAATAAGAGCACATTAATTTTTATGGGTTTTCGTAATAACAGACTGTTTCTTCTATTTGCACTGGTTAATTTACAATTAGCTAAGACAACTCTGCACTGAACACATTTATACAACATGCATTCTCATATCTACTTTATAACAAGCAAGATTAACTTAACTCACATCAGTCCTATTTATACTAGCAATAATATTTATCACACATAATTATTTGAGACTTTACAGACAATAGTAAAATCGAAATGCCCTCAAAATATAAAAACTTTTATCACACCAAAGGAGCAAAAAAAAGGATGTATTTGTTACTCAGCTGCAAATCTCAAGCCTTGATATTTCTTCATGACCTCTGAACCTTACACATCTGTAATTGCTGTTGCTGATCTTCATTCACAATAGTGATGCAACCCAACCATGTGCAAGTTACACGCACATTATCAGGCAACTCTGTATTACTTCTCTTCTGCTAGTTCTGATTTGGATTAATTAGGGAAGTTTATCTATGATACTTCATACCTCTAAAAGTACAGGCACATTTTGGTTTTTAGATTTATTTTTAACTCAATTTTTTCTACATTCTACTTGATTGTTTCCTTCATCCACTCTCATCTTTAAAAGAACAGTTACTGTCTGCATAAAACTGACAAGACTTTAACAATGCCAAAAGAATGTCATCAGCTGCATGCTTTGTTTGCTTCCAGTAGCTGTGGATGTTGTCATGTGCCAACAGGGTGAAAAGTTCAAGGGAAAATTGTTTCCATTTCAGGTTAAAAAAATAAATAAAATCAAAAGCATGCTTCCCTCTACCTATCTAAACAAGAATGCGTGTATAGGAGAGGTCAAAGCCTAAACTGAGGACACATGCTAATCAGTCAACGACACCACTCCTTTTTGACTGACACAGACACCATCAAGACCCTGAATGACAGCGAACAATGAAAATAGAAGTTCAGAAATCCCTGTGTTTAAGCTGCAAGACAAATTTGTTTCACTGTCTAATACTCTTCAAATTGCTGGTATAATGTACTACTCTAAATGATCAGTTTCAAACACAAACATGCTGAACACTGGGAATACAGGATGGCTACAAGCCTCTGGCTGAGGAGCCTTTCAAATGCTTGAATGACATGCAGTGTTGGAAACCAGCAACTTCATGAAACCACGTACATACTTTACACACTTTCTGTGGGCAACACTAGCATACTGAAGAAGCATTCAAACTCATTTACTTGTTCACTACTACACATTTCCAATGCAAGCTTTGTCTGTATTGTGGATTTTCTGTACAAAGTAGCCCAGTGAGAGCAGCGACGCCTTCAAAATACAGAACCAAATAATAACATGATTCAGATCTTTCCAGGCTGGATTCACTAATGGTATGAATTCAGTCAACCCTTGAAGTCATCTGCACATTTCTTGTTTGAGGAACTAGAAAGTAATTTACTGCTTCAGCTGTGGCAAGTTTCTATGAGTTCACAACTTCCATGAACAGCTAAACATGTATTTTTCTAGTTGAATCTGAAAGTATTATTTATCATAAAAAAGACATCTGTCAGCAAAGGACATCACCTTTCAGAGAATACAGGTGTTTACTCTTCCTGGCAGTCAAAGAAGAACACTCAACCGAGTTCAGAATAAAAGACCAGGCCATTTACGAGCCTCTTGCCAGTGCCATAACCTATTTCCAGGAGGTATTCAGAGCTAATTAACTGCTTCAGGAGTCACCTGCTACAGCTTTGCTCATGACACAGAAATAAATAAAACAGTCTTCTCAGTGAGTTTGAGGCACTATTAAAACTGCAACAAACTCAAAAGGCATCTGTTAAGTCAAAAGGCCTACAGATCACTTCTAAGACCGCACTGGAAGACATGCTTCTTGGTGGCCATCTTCAACACTGAGCATGTGAAAAACATGGCCTGGTATTTATTACATAAGGTAATATGCAATATTAGACAATGTGTCATGGCTTCAAAAACAACCACACATCTCCCCACCTCAATTTTTAGATTGCTTTATTTCTTTTTAATAAGCAATCTGTAACATCGTAAGGTGTACAAAAACAGCATCTAGAAAATGCAGCAACGACAGCAAAACCCCAATGACAACTAAGTAACTCTCAAGCCAGAGCTGCAATAAAGACCGGTACTCAATCACTTCCCTCCTTCCCACATTTGGGCTATCACTAAAGAGTCCTCTGAAAAGCAGTGCTGTTTCACTGAAACATGGAAGAGTTGTTTTTATACCAGGTGCAGAAAAAAGAAGTTAAGTAATTGTTCATGAATAGTATGTTGGGTTGTTTTTTTCTTTTTTTAACATGAACTAAGTGAAAAATGTTTACATCACTGATAAGCCAATTGAAACTTCAGAAATAAATGCAAGTAAACAGGCCACTGCTAGAATTAAAAATATTATGAAATAAATCTGGATTATAAATACTGAGCAAATGATGTCATACTCTTAAAAGACTTAATTTCTTCACCATCTAGCTTGTATTTTGCAAGATAATACAGATTCTCTTATATCACTATGTTATCTACAAATAGGAATTTGTTCTTAGTTGATTGAGGGAATTTGAGTAGTATTTCAATTTTTTTGTAATTTATTCCTTCATAAAATATTTTGCTTTAAATAAATTCCAGCAAAATATTACTTTAATTATAATTTCTATGGTAAGTGTGACAATACGGCTACTGTACAAACTTACTATTGTTTCAAATAACATGGGGGTTTTGGCTTTGGGGTTTTTGTAATGGCCATGCATGTCTTTTTATACAGAAATATTTTGTGCTCATAAATTCTGGTACAATAAGATAATATCTTAGGAAATAGAAATTTTTAGTAAACATTTCAACATACACAGAGCGTAAGCCAAGTAAATACTTTGATTCTGTTAGAACCCTCACTACAGAAGCTCTTTTATACTTCTAAATAACAGTAACAAAGTTGACAATGACTGAAAATTGTTACAGAAAGGGAAAAAAAAACATACATGTTCTGGCATTTATTATCCAATAAAAAATAACATAAGCAATGTAGTACAAATTTATAGACACAGAATATGAAAGATCAAGTAAACTAAATTCACAGAACTTTTCGGTCTCATCTCCAACTCTTCTGTTGTGAAAGGATTAAAAGAAAAGCAGATGTTAACTCTGGCTAATGACAAATAACCATGCCATTCAATGACAGCACTCTCAACAACAATTTAGTACCAAAAATGTTTTGACTTAAAGCATACAGGAAGTTATGCACTGCTCATCTGCAAACACATTCCCATTACTTAGGTGCTGCAGTGCTAATGTTTCATGTTCTGCTCAGAGATGTATCCCTCTGATGGCAGAGGAGTAAATCTGGCAAGGTACAAAAAACAATATACTAAGTGCAGCTTGGTTATTAACACATGCATAAAATAGGTATTAAGACACCCAATACAAACCAGTTAAAATGGCATACTACTAAACTCTTAAGTCAAAATCTCAAGGAAATGCATTGGTCCACTCACCAGTAAAGCTGTCTGAAGATCTACAGTGGGCATAGCCTGTAGGCAGATGGCCAACTTCCTGAAAATTAGGGTTCTTTGCCATGCTGAACAACAGACAGGTTGAACAGCAAGCTCATAGAAACACGATTCAGTGACATCCAGCTGCACAGCAATGACTGTATCATTTCCTGAAACAATGCATGAAATAATTACCATCAGAAACTGGGGATATTTTGCCTATGGCAAAAGTGAGCAAGATGCATATTTCCAAGTTAAAATTTTTGTGGAAATAAATTCTTAAAAACATCCCTCAATTCTTTGGGAAAATTCCTCATAACATTAGATGATAGCACTAGATTATTATTTTTTTTTTAGGAGAAGGGGGAACGGGTTTAAACTTAAACAGGGGAAGTTCAGGCTAGATACAAGAAAGCAGCTCTTTACTGCGAGGCACTGGAACAGGTTGCCCAGAGAAGTGGTAAATGCTCCATCCCTGGCAGTGTTCAAGGCCAGGTTCGACAGAGGCTTGGGCAACATCGTCTAGTGTGAGGCGTCCCTGCCTGTAGCAGGGGGGTGGGACTAGATGATCTTAAGGTCCTTTCCAACCCTGTTCTGTGAGTCTATGAATTACGACCATTCAATTTTTTAACTGCCAAAGAAGACAGTAATGCACTGACATTCATTTGTCCATTACAAGCCACAAAAAAATTTATCCTGAAAATTTCTAGCTAGAGCATTCACATCCTCAAGAACACCGTTTTCCCAAATGGGTGTCCTAGTTAAACCTGGTCTATACAAAGTATACCACACACATTTTATTCCCTATGCATCCAAAGTTCTCTAAGTGTTCTTGCCTAGCTAAAAGTTAATGGGGGTTTTGTCTGGGTTTTGGTTGTTGGGGTTTTACTTAAGGCAGTTCCAGATCTTTCTCCTGTGCAAGCCTTTAATTTTACAAACAGGAAAACAAAACCGTAGGGTGAGGAAATACAGAAATATAGAGGCTTTATTTGTTTAAATACATAGCTAACATAATGAGTCTCTCTCAACAAGTATAAATTATTGTTATTCTTCCCATCATACATGCCAGCAAGACAAATAAACTGTATTTAATTTCCCAAACAGCTGATACCTTCCTCTATGAATTCTCTTCTAAAAAAACTATAATCTTTAGAGTATATGTTTAAAAGAGCAACGAAGAAGAAGGAAGAAAAAAATATTTTTAGGTACTTTCATGAACTGTAAAGTAACCACATCTCAATCCAGCAAAGAAGATCTCCTGATTTTGGAGAATAACATGTAATAGGTAAATATTTGCTCCTACAAGTAATGTAGATTATCAAATTGACTTGTATTATGAAAATCTAATCAAAAAGCCATTTCTGAAAATTCTTGTGGATATTTTTTTTTTTTAATAAATATGAGTGAACAAAACCCAACAGGACAGTATACTTCAAGCACCTGACTTACAGAGTTGTAATACGAAATATGCCAAACACATCTGCTTTGTGAGCAGGCTCAAACTGAATCTTAAAACACATACAGAATTACGTAGTCTCAGCACTGGGCTTTGGGAGGGGTCTGTGTGCTGAGCTTTAACAATAACACATACGAAGAGCATTGCTGGGCAAGCAAGATTATAGGCATATTGCTAACAAGTTAACATCGGGTTGTTTTGGGGTTTTTTTAAGTCTGATAATATGACAGCTTCTTCAAAGTCAAAAGGAATTTCAGTGAATCACAGCAGTATGTCACTTACAAGAGTAGTGAAAATATTGTGTGTACTACCAAAGCATCAAAATACTGACTATTCAAAAAACAAACAACCAAACAAACAAACCACGAAACCCCAGCACACTACCAGAACGGGCAGGTAAAGGGGCGGGTGGGTAGGCGAAGCAGGGACATGGCCCCCCCCATCGCCCCACGGAAGAGAGGGCAGCCGGGA